TGTTATGTTCTATAAAAATATTGTGACCTATAGTTATGTTACGAGTTCATGTAAATGAGTGAGCCTGTTGATTGATGAATTTCACCGGACGCCTGCGTTCACCAGTCATGATAGTCTTGTGGTTCTTACTCATAAGAGATTTCCCCGAAACGTCAGAAAATGATTTTTTTTATTGTAATGTCTATTAAATTAAATAAATATATACAATAAATAAATGCTATCTAAAGGCATCAAAAAAAAAAACTTTTCCTGATCACTATCGTGAGGTAGGGTGCCCAAAAGACTGGCAGCATTGCCACGTTGAATGGCAATGCTGATAATTGAAATAAATGATAATAATTATTGTGTTAACAAATCTGTCGATGAGAGGGCCGACGTTTTCATATTCGTTTTCGTAAAAGTAAAAACATTCGACAATATTTTTTAACCCAAAAATCAATCATGATAATAGTAATGTTTTTGAAGACCATTTTACAAGTATATTCACACAAGATTGCCAAGTAAATTCAATAGCCTAGTTAATTAGATGATTATAATAAATTACCATTTACTATAACGGAGCTTGTCAAAGGTATGCCTTGCAATAATATCATGCATTAATAGCATGCATAGCTCATTACTGATAGTCTACTTGATTAGCCAGCTAATTAGACAATCATGGTAATATTAAGATTGATTTTAGCATAATTGACGGGTTTAGCGGTCGAGTGGGCGCAAGTATGATGTAGAATGGCGTCTCGGGTTTAATTCTAGGGGCAAGAAAAATATGATTTAATTAGCTGTAAAAGCATCCAATAAAGTGAGGTTTCACTCACACGACGAAACACAACGCAAGCGTTGCTTCACGTCGGTTTTCTGTGAAGCCGTGGTATCACTCCGGTCGAGCCGGCCCATTCGGCTCTGAAGCATTGCTCTGCTACACTTAGCATGGCTCTCCTACATTCTCATTATAATTTAAAGGTCTTTATCAACTCAAACTGAATCACTAGACCTTATTCTAATTAACAATTCGAACCATAATCATGTTCATCAATTAAGCAATATTCAGTTTTAAAATGTGGTAACATAAGTCTTAGAAAACGTTTAGAAATTAATTGATCCAAAGATAACATTTCGGCTTAATGAACTTCATTTTATATAATGAACTAGTAACAATATTAGCGCTGAGCGTTTGCAGAATGATATATAGGAAAAATATACAACAAAGGTCTTTATTGGCATTTTATTAAAAGTTAAAAAAAACTATATTATTGTATTAACGCCGTGAGAGTGAGGTTACCGGAGGTCCAATTACCCTCCTCTCCAACTCCACAATCCTCAAATTTCTAATCCCCAAAAGGCCGGTAACGCACTATAACGCTACTACTCTGGTGTACCAAGTGTCCATGGGCAACGCCGATAACATACCATCAAGTGATCCGTCCATAAATCAAAAGTGGCCACTATAAGTCACCCTGACTAAAGGCCCCTTCTCTCACGGAGAAGGTTTGAGCATTAACCACTACGCTTACTCAATGCGGGTTCTCGATTACAAACTTATCATAAGAAATTATAAGCCAAGGTTTCCTCATGATGTTTTTCTTCACTATTTGTCAGTAGTGTTTATATAATCTTTCAAATGCGGGCGTCGTAAAGCTCCGGGCTACAGCGACATACTAAACCATTATCATTATTTTCAAACTACTATATAACGTAATATAATAACGTTATTATTGAGCAATTATTACTATCGAATCGAACTAAAAATGCGTCCAACATTACATTGGCATTGGCAGTCGTTCTCGACGAATGAGACAGGTCATTAACTAGTACCTCGACTTAAAAACTGTTTTTATTTAATTTAAAAGACAAAGTCGTAGTCAAAAACTAGTTTTTGAATTATTTGTATCTATAAAAGTTGTTAAAGCAGTTTGAATTTCAAAGAAATCGTACTTAATATTGAGATTTTTAGTTCTTTAAAACATTATTTTAGTTGTCATAGAATAGGGTTGTAAGTTTACTAAAGACTTTTGCAAACTGAATTAATTATTTGGTTTTGTTGAAGTTATCTTTATTTATAAATTTATATTATTCAAAAGTTATTTTAAGTTTCATAATTATTATTATTATGCCTGCCTGCCTCGGTGGCCGAGTGGTTGCAAGTGCGAGTCTCGGGTTAGATTCCCAGGTCAGGCAAAGTAATACTGTTTTATTCTAAACTCTTAGTAGTAGCACGGAGTCTAAAATTGTAACCGATATATGGCAATAGGCTCACCCCCTTACATGAGACTCATAACATAATTATATAGTGTAAAATGGGTGTTACATTGCACAGCGCAATAAGTGCCGTGATTTGAACCTCTGCCTACCTACCCCTTAGCGGATAAAAGGCGTGATGTTATGTTATATAATAATTTTTATTAGTTACTTATTTTTTGAATAGTTATGACTCTTTTATTGTATAAAATTCGTAAGTGCATTGAGCAAAATGGAAGTTGTTGACTATAGACATGAATATAATTAATATTTGATATTATACAGTGCTGTAGCACCTAAATTATAATAAATTAGTTCGATATTTCATCGGCCTAACAATGCATATCTGATACTAATTGAATGATGAACAGATTCAATGAACATTTCATACATACTTGTTTGAACATGCATTATAATTATGCATTTTAGGCACATAATTCAGAAAAGACTTCATTCATTCATTCATTCATAAAATAATAATTATCGGCAGCAAAAACTTCATTCCTATTAAAAACTTCAATAAATTGAGCATCTATCAGAAAAATGAATTAAAAAAAATAAACACAAAATCTCTTTACTCTTTAATAGCTTTGATAGCATCGACTGTAGAAGGTAAAAACGATCCAGTGTAGTTTAAAAAAACCATTTTTGTTTTAATATTTATTTTTTCAAATAGTTCGCGGTCTGTGGTCCAACGTTAAGCTGTCAAGCACCGCCGATGAAAATATCGAAATAGACAACCCTATTCTGCCGTAGAGTGTTCAATTAAAATCAACCTTTTCACGCTTAAAATAAAATAGATTCTTGTTTATCACAAATTGAAGTACGAAATTCCCTTTGAAATGAAATGTTTTACACAAAAGGTGTTTTAAAAAGATGAGAATTACTTTCTGATATTATTGAAATGGAAAAGTTTTGGTAGGTATTGGACAGGCTTTATTGAAGGGTACGATATTAAAATTTTATTCGTATAGGTATAAGTGATTGATTCTGATGGACTGTTATATCTTTATGCATTGCAGTGTAATAAACATTAATCGGGCTGCATTTTTCGAAGCTTTTAATTAGGATTTAATGATAAATTGTACATTATGTTTTTTTTTTTTTTTTTTTTATGGAATATATAAGCCGGTAAACGAGCAGACGGATCACCTGATGGTAAGCAATCGGCGTCGCCCATGGACACCTAGAACACCAGAGGCGTTACAAGTGCGTCACCGGCTTTTTGGGGATTAGGAGTTTGAGGATCGTTGGGGATTCAGGGATTGGGGAGATTGGGGAAGGGGAAGGTAATTGGGCCTCCGGTAACCTCACTCACACGACGAAACACAACGCAAGCGTTGCTACACGTCGGTTTTCTGTGAGGCCGTGGTATCACTCCGGTCGAGCCGGCCCATTCGTGCCGAAGCATGGCTCTCCCACACTTTTTTTTTCTGCATTCTTTCTGCAAGTAGTTTACGAAGTAACATAAAAGTGTTATCGCGCCAATCTTTAAATTCTTCGATGAGGCCGGCATTGCCTAATTGACTACTATGAGAACAAATGTTGAAGGAAACTCAGAGGTCATTGTCTCTTAAAGTCCAGACAGATAATAATAATAATGCGCGAGAGCCGTGCAAGTTGATTCTGTAGTGGCCTTCTGAAGAGATCCACAACAGTTTGAGTTGGCCTGTTCTAAGGGTAGCACGCATGTGTCAGTTTCCAATCAGATCACAGCGAGTTGCGCAGCTCACAGTGAGCTATGCGACGTCGCCGCGACTGCGCACGTTGCTCATGAGGAAGAACCCCTCTGTGGTTCGAAACTAGTAGAGCTTCTCTCAGTATATTCACGTGAGTAACCCGCGATTTTCGTTAAATTAGTATGTCTCACGATATTATTATATGCTCAAACTGTCAAAATGTAATTAATAAAGTAAAAGTGAATTTGGTTTTTAATTTGCATGAGGTCTATAGTATATATTATAACTGGTAAAAACCGGTTTGATTGCATGTATTATGTGATGTGAATTGGGTATCTCTGCCTGCCACTTTGGGGATGTACCTCTATATTCAAGCTTCAGTTTTATCCTATTTTGCAAGACATCTCCCCACATATCAAGTTAGACCCTACAAGAAAACAACACTATCACACTAAAACACATTTACATATGTATTATTCGCGTGTAATATTCGAAAGTCCATTCATACAGAATTTTCCCAATCTCAGTAAAATCTTTCTTTACGCAAGATTCACAGAGTCAATCCGAGATCCGAAATAAATCTTCGAAGATTTCTTTGGTATATGGTAGAAGAAAGATGATGCCATCAAGCAAATTGTACATCCAGAAACCTCGTGGATATTAAATAATACAAGGAGAAAATATTACCGCGGAAATATCGAACGATTATAACCAACTGCGAAGTGCGAGTAAGGAAGGAAGGTCGCAGAAGGTTTACTTTCGAGTTACTGTAATTTTGGTTGGTTAATACACATTACTGCACTGACTTTAGACTGTTTTGACTACATTTTTTTCAAGAAAATGTATAATTTATAACAATAACATCAACATAATGTCTTGTCTAAAATAATTATTTTATTTCTTTGTAAAACTATTGTATTTCTGTACCAAGACAGAACCATGTAATATTTATTTTTCACCTTATATATATGTATTTGATGGGGCGACATTTGACCAACATCTCACCTGGCGGCAAGCGACGATGATCAGCTTTTCTCAGTATAATTACGTTATCTTAGTTAATTTAGAAGTCATATTATGATTATTAATTGAAAGTGATTTGGCCCTTGGCGTGCCCTGGTTAATTCTTTACTCGGTGCTGTAAGTATAAATTTTTAAAAATTCGTCTTTTGTTAAATTAAAAATGAAATCCTGGTAAGACTTTATTCGGAAGTCATTCTATGCTAACTCGACCAACGAGAACGGAACTTCGACTTCTGTACAATATTATTTAGCTTGTAATATTGTATCCATTTGTAAAAATTATTCTGCCATACGCTCGCATCATCAGTTTGAGTTATGACTTCGATAAATATTTGGAAACTCTACTTAGTATGACGATATTTCCTGATTTGATACCGTCACTGTGTTGCTATGTTAGACGAAGGCTGTCATAGTTCCGACCAAGTCAGAAACATGTACGTTTTTACGACTAGCTATGAAGATTTTTCTTCCCTTGTAACTTAAGTTTTATGTTAGGTAGACTGCCGATATTACTATTTAGACTGTATGTATTTTTTCACAATATATTATTATTCAGTTTGTGTTATATACGAACGATTAATTGTTAGGTATAGGATGTTCGTCACCTTATAGTTAAAATGTAGCTATAACCTATCGATTGCACGGTTGGTGCGGAGGCTGGGCAACCGGCTGCCCTGCAGCGTGTCGCGGGTTTGATTCCCGCACGGAACAACACTTAGTGAGATCCACAAATTGTTGTTTCGGGTCTGGGCGTCATGTGTATGTGAAATTGTATGTTTGTAAACGCACTTACGACACAGGTGAAAATCCTAGTAATCCTAAAACGTTCTCCATTGACAGTGATGCGGACGAGTATTTTGACGCTTAAATAAGGATATTTACTAGTTTCCTTTCGTTCTTTTGATTCACTATTGTATATATTATTTACTTATTTTCTTTTCTTGTTATTTAATTTATACTAGCTGTTGTATGCGTATTCCAGTTTTATCTCATAGGAGCATTTAATCGGGATAAAAATATCCTATCACCTAAGTCAGCTCGTCCCCTTCCTGTATACTAAATTTCATTAAAATCTGTTCAGCGTGATTAATGGACAAGCATTCACACATCCAAACAAAGAAACCTTTACATTTAGAATAAGTATTACATAGTGTAATTATTAACATCTAAATGGAAGTTATTTTTTTCTTTTTTTTTAATGTTGCCCCACAGTAGGTAGTATATTCTCCTGTGTCGTGTACATATACCTAAGTTCTCATACACATGACACCCAGACCCGGAACAACAATTTGTGGATCACACAAAGAGTTGCTCCGTGCGAAATCGAACCCGCAACACTTTGCGCGGCAGCCGGTTGCCCAGCCACTGCACCAACCGTGCCGTTATGTTCTGTGCATGGGTTCTCCTCTATTTTAAACATAATTACTGTAAATATCTATATTTTGTGCTTATAATGATAATTTTTTTCTTTATTTTAATTACAGTTTTACAACATATGGAAGGACAAGAACAAACACTCGATAGATGAAGCTCCCGAACGTAAAGCAGAGATGACCATACGTCATCAGATTGTGGAAGGCCTTTACAATGTGAAGCCAATGTTTCAAAAACCATTAGGAGTTTATCTAGCTATGACTTGCTGTAGCAATTTTATTATTATGGCTATGTAAGTATGTTTTTTTTTTATAGCCTAAGCCGGTAAACGAGCAGACGGATCACCTGATGGTAAGCAATCGGCGTCGCCCATGGACACCTGGAACACCAAAGGCGTTACAAGTACGTTACCGGCTTTTTGGGGATTAGGATTTTGAGGATCGTTGGGGATTCAGGGATTGGGGAGATTGGGGAGATTGGGGAAGGGGAGGGTAATTAGGCCTCCGGTTACTAAACTAACTAATGTTTAGTGGCTAGAAGTGTACCTGGTAACCGAAGGAACTCCGGTTCGATAGTAAATTCGAAAAGAATATTGCTGTGTGTTCAAACAATAGGGTAGATGGCTAAGTTTTATATTCATGTCCGACTGATAGATTATTTTAAAACAATAAATAACGTATTTTTATTTTCCTACAGAAACAAATACTTTCGACGATAAATTGATTTGAAATATCGTGTGACGTCACTTCTAGGTGTACGTTTTATACGTAGAAAATTAAACTAAACTTTGACTCAATTGTCTAAGTATTGTTTTCTTATATTATGATGGAATAATAATATACGTGTTTAATATTTTTTCATTACCTTTTTAATACCCCGTCGTTATATACATACCTATTCTCAATACCATACCTATTCTCAATGATAACATGGAGTCTAGGATTGGCTAGTTTCTTAGGTTTAAAATAAATTGTTTCAACTTATCAATTCAAAAAAAATTATAAAAAAATAATCATACTCTCATCTATTGATTTGACAATTTACATACTTTTGGATTTTTTCTCACTAATTTTAAGGAAACAAGTATGCTATTTGACGCAGAAATATGATGACGTCATATGTTGCGATCTAATACAAAATTCATAGAAAAGTATAGTTTTTGACATTTCAATAAAAATATTGAATTTGACTACCTGTCAACTACCGTATTGTGTCTTCTGTAGGTATGTAAAGAATGTTATGTTATAGGAATGAATTTGTTTTAACACCCAGTTTTAATCACCAATGATTAGTGTATTAACTCGTCGAGTACTGGTTTTGTAGACACAATTGACGTTCAAAGTGACAAGAGCCAAATCACTACATTTCGTTGAATTATTTTATTTTATGTAACAAAATCTTGACCTAATTTTTTTATGTAACAACATAAAAAAAGGTTAAAGTTATACTGCCTCGTTGGCCGATTGGTCGCAAGTACGGCTGCCGGGACTAGGGGGTTCAATTCTTGAATTAGGCAAAGTATTACTGGGTTTTTTAAAAATCGTCAGTAGTAGCACGGAGTCTGGAATTGTGACTTCTCACCTATCAGTGGTTGTGTAAGCTATAGGTAAGTACGTATGATCAAATATAGTTACTTTTTGCTTTTTAGTTTTTACTTTTCGTTTGTTTTTGTTTTTGAAGTCGGTTTTTTTAATTAAAACCCAAACACGCTTTTACCAACACCTGTCTTCGTTTTTTTGGAGCGTTTTCCTTGCATCCTGTATAAATAGTCCCATAGTCGACTCTTGTGATATCCAAAAAATTAGGGTAACAAATTAATGTAGATATTCTACTCAACCATTTCCAAAAGACTATAAAAACAATACAGTACAAACGAAATAACATCCAACCCATATACAAACGCTAACGACCACTGGGCTAACTCCTACTAAAGACTGCAATACACATAGTTTGCGCGAGACAAGCGTGAATTTGCCGACGGGTACGCAACGTTACGCCCGTGGGACGCAGCCTATCACCTGCGTTAATTGAGCAGGGACTACGCGAATACGCCAGGCTAACTCAGCTCTGATATCGAACAGAACTTTGATCTAATACTGGAAGTTCGTTTCTAAGATAATCAAAAAGACTTTGTGTATTCTCTATAGTGGTTTTTAGTCCCTGATGGAGAAGACAAAGAGCTGTATATTAAAAGTTATACTAAGTTTTTACTAGGCAATATTAATTAGAATGTATTATTTTAGGTATTACGTAGCTATTAGACAGTTTTTACCTAGTTTCTAGCTATGATTAAAGTTCATAAGCGTACTCAGCGTGCACTCATAATAAGTATCTATGAACACCTTTAGTAGACTGACTGAATGTGCTGTCTTGAAGACGATCCTCAGAACAAGTTCTCAGATTTAAACTCTATTTTTATATGCATGTGACTATAAGTAATCGAGTACAAGTCTCTAATGAATACGAAATGAATAATACAAAGAATACCAGTACCTAGAAATCTTAAAATGTAAATTAGACTTAATCCGCCAATAACCAGTAGTATCTTCAAAATCCCAAGACGACTAGGAAGAATCCTTGACCCAATTCTATATTTAGATAATAGGAATAATACGAGAACACGATCGAAACATTTTCTATTAATAAGCTACTATCTATTCACGTTACGTTTGCACGCGAACGGCTTACAAAACCATTGCGAAGCCATGAGTACGATCGTTATTTTACCTACTCACAACTATAATAAATTATTGTTCTAGCTACGAATATTGATTCTGATATTATTTTAGGAAGCTTAGACTTGTGTTTTGTAATTCAGGGTTAGGTTTTGTAGATGAAAATGGGGGTAAATTTAACAGAATAGATAATGAAGGCCGTCTTATTTCAATTCATTTGGTGATGTTGCATTATAAGTGGTTTTACATGATAGAAGTATTTTACCTGATTTTGAGACTTTAATTGATAACGTCCAGTATGATACATAGATTACATACATACTTAAATAGCTTCACGCCTGTTATGGAGGTAGGCAGAGAATATAGAACACCAATTGCTACGATTCTTACATACCTCTTTCGCTTCATCAACAGTCATCAGTCCTTTCATGCATGCTCGTCGGTTAAGGGTACTTTTAATTTGGCCCTTCTTTAATATATCGCCAATCTGGTCGATATTATGTCCGTCTATGGCGCGTATGGATACCTACATGGATTAAATCCAAGAAGAAGAACTTGGACTTAAGAAAAATCATACGACCATTTCAAACACCGAATAAAACTTGAAACTTACTACTTAATAATTATTATAAGAAAAGCAGTTCGCTTCCATAAGATCCAACCTGAAGTCACTGAAGAGGTCAGCAGTGGATATCTAATGACTGTACATACATACATAACTTCACGCCTGTCTCCCATGGGGGTAGGCAGAGACTAAGGAACGCCAATTACTACGATACTTACATACCTCTTTCGCTTCAATAACAGTCATCAATCTTTTCATGCATGCTCGTCGGTTAAGGGTACTTTTAAATTATTGACTAATGACTGTGAATATCCTAAAACTACTACTATAGACTGTGAATAACCTAAAACCCTAGTTTCCAACTACTTATATGATATCACAAACTCTCATTCACCATTTAAACATTTCAAATCGACAGTGAATTTCAACTGACAATAACAATAAATTAATATTCAAACAAAGATATTGATTTCGATATTATCATACTTTGAACATGAACAGGGTCCAAGGTCATATAGAGCGTGCTTAGAAATAACTTTGTAAGGAAGAACAGCCTGTTTATCAATGAATTATTGTTTGCTTAATATTGCAAGGGTTGAATTATGGCTCTGACCTTGGAGTATCGTTAATGGATGTACACACGACTGCAAATCGATCTACACTAAACCAGTTTATCATGGTCTCGTATTTTATGATCTTTCTCGATATTTGACGGTCAGTTTATACTGGTCTGTTCTGGCTTGATGTGTACCTGTGTGCTCGTTGATGGGGTTGAGGTAAAGTTCAATTAAAATGGTTTATGTATGTTTGCTTGGTAGTAAGCGATAGTAAGTTTGACCTCTATTTCAATGGCATGTGTGACTAATGTTGCCTGTCATTTTAACTTGAGATAGGAGAGTAGCTATTGTTTTCTTGAAACTCTGGTAACAGTAGTGATTTAAAAACGTACAGTGGACGTGTTATTAACTCAGTGAAATTAACTCAGGCTGTTAATTTTTTAGTTTTATTCATATTATGTTGCATATAAAATGATACAGATTAGCACCACACATTAAAAAGAAACCACCAATCCTCAATTTGACCTCAATAATTATAGTTTAACCTTCTGATAAGTTAGTAGGTATGTAAAAAAGAACGAGAGAAATGGTCCTCGCTTTTTTATAACATCATAAATCTTGTGAGCACCTTATAATACTAAGGTTAGCATAATAAATTCTACGAGAATAACAATACCCGTTTGTACCAAAAAATTCTTCGTAAAAACAAAGTTTAATTTTTCCTCTACCTACGGTAATTTTTTGGGAACGGATTTTTTCATTTCACTCGTAGTTGGATGTAAAAGGGTTATTTAGGTACCTCTTACAATGATTAAAGAATAATTGAATAGGTTTTTCTACGACCGCCCACAAAAATGATGCTTAGATGCAAAATCTGGGGTTTCTCCAAGAAATTTTGTTTATACTTTGAAACGTAAAGCCGCACCTGTTTTTCTGAGGTTTTCGGTAATTGCACTTCCTTATCGTGGGCATTTGGTTGATATTTCCTTATTGGCTGTGTTTAAACTGAGACTATTTTTGTTCTACCCCTAGATTGAATAGGCTTTTGCATTTTCTTCGAAACTACTTAAAATCTGGTGTCATGATTGACATTTTCCTCAACTAACATCAACATAACATCACGCCTTTTATCCCTGAAGGGGAAACAGACATCCACTTTTCGCTATTTATATTAAGAGTCTCATGTAATAGGGGGTGAGTCTATTACCATATACCGGGCACAATTCCAGACTCCGTGCTACCATTGAGAATTTTTAAAAAACCTATTAGTACTTTGCTCGATGCAGAAATTCAACCCGAGACCCCTTACCCTGCAGTCGCACTTGCGACTATTTAGCCAACAAGGCAGTCTCACCCTTATTAATAACGCCTGGTTTACCTTTCTATTTTGGATTCTATGTTGACTATGTACATTTATCTTCTTCTGTTTCAGACAAAAAGTGGCCACGAAACTTACATCAACAGCATCATCCTCGGTTGCGTCTGCATCATTCCGTACGTCATCACCGCCATTCTAGTCAACAGGGTTGGCAAGAAACCGCTCCTTATTGGTGCTAGCATGATTTCCGTTGCAAGCTCCTTAAGTCTTCGCTGGGCTAGCAACAAAATAGCACTGGTTTCATTTTTCTCAATATCAGTAGCTATTGCTCAATCAATGCTGAGTTTAAATCAGGCTATGACAGTGGAAATGTTTCCTACCACGACAAGGTTAGTACCTCTATTAAAATTAATGCCTATTTTATGACATAATACTGATTGTTTATTAGTTTACGTTTGTTTTTGTTTTGATACGAATTTTTAGGAATATGTTGGTAGGACTGCGTGTTGGCCGCGTGATCGCAATTGTGATTGCCGGGCAAGGGATTTCGGGTTCGATTCCCGGATTGGGAATAAAAATAATCTCAGTAGTACGAAGTTTGGAATTGTGCCCAGTATATGGCAATAGGCTCACCTCCTATTACATGGGTCTCCTAACATAAATAGTGAAGAGTGGTATAGTGGTAAAGTGGTGGTGGTGTTAATGTTACATTATACGGTTCCTGCTAAGAGGCGAGATGCTTATGTTATGAAGGTAAATTTAAAAATTGAAATCAGTTTTAATGACCTACACAAAAAGATATATCAAGAACTATATAAAATTTCTTTGAAATCCAAAGGAGAAAATAATAAAAGGAAATATAGGTACAAAATCAATTGTACATCAAATCACAAAAAGCTAAGCACACATAATCGGCTTACAAAAGCGAAAGTCTACACTAGCGCCATTGTCAATCTTGCAAGTATTAAATGGGACACAATAGCTATAGCTAGATATTGGTCTATTGTTCAGAGGGTCGGCAGAATTCTATAGACTCTATACAAGCCGAGAATAGCCTCAATATAGTCCAGATATCATCTGCACTGGCCACGTTTAGCCAAATGGTCCCTGTTTTGTAACAAATTAGATAATCTTTAAGTCAATATTAATTTCAGCAAAGTTATTCAAGTAGAGCCGCCATTTTAATTATGTTATTAAGTAAATAATTAATGAATTTTGATTCTGATGCGTAATTTAATTTGATTTTATGCGTTGATTGGAGTTTAATGTTTTGAATTAAGTTTATAATTGTCTTCTGTGTTGTTTGTGATTTAGATTTGTGCGTGTGTGTGTGTCTTTTGATTTGAAATTCGATTTATTATTCTTGGAATAGTTTAGATATCAAATGAGTTAGGATAATGTAGCTGAAACAATATTAATAATTTCACTGTATGTCAAAAGACATTGCGATATTTAATATGAGTTTGCAATTTGCAAATCAACACTTTTATAAATATCGTTTTAGTTCTTTTAGTACGTTATAGTATTTTAAGAATATATCTAGACTTCTATAAATTTATTGTGAACCTTTTTTCAGGACTTTAGCAATATCAATGATTATGGTTATCGGTCGTATTGGGACGTTATCGGGTAACATAGTGTTCCCAATAATGCTGGAGATAAGCTGCGCCTTTCCATTCTATTCCATATCTGGATGTATGGTTTGTAAGTATACCTTTTTATACGAGATACTATGGAACGCCGATAGCTACAATCCTTACATACCTCTTTGGTTTCCTCAACAGTCATCAGTCTATTTTATTTACTCAGCAATCTTTACTTTTTGGCACAAAAGATACATAAAATAATAATAATAATAAATAAAATAAAATTATTATTATATAAGCGCATTGAACAAGCGTGGTGATTAATGCTCAAACTTTCTCCGTGTGAGAAGAGGCTTTGCTTAGCAGTGGGCATTTATAGGCTGTCAATGATGGAATGACACATTTATAGGTAACTTTCAATGCTGGCAAAGTCCGTAGTGGAAGCTAGTTATATAATTGCTAACAGTTTTTTTTATTTCAGTGGTCCTGGTGGTTGCGCTGTTCTTACCAAGCAAGAAGCTGTGATATTGCATCAAATCAAGTAATGTAATGAGAAATAAGCATAACGATGGTATACCCTCATTGCCAGTCCTTGACATGACATTGAATTGTACTCATTGCCATCAACAATAAGATTTATAATGAGTGGTCTTAAATCAATAATAGGGTAGATGCCTAATTTGTATTTTAATGTCCGTCTAGTGGATTATTTTAAATCATTTGACACGTATTTTTTATTTCCTTACAGAAATGAATACTTTCGACGATATATTGATTTGTAATGTCGCGTGACGTCACTTCTATGTACATTTCTTACGTAGACATGACTTTTTAGCCCCCACTCCTAAACATTGATTCGTTTTATTTAGTATTGTTTTATTATATGTACAACAAAATAAAAAAATACGTGTCTAATAATTTTTCATTACCTAACTTATGGACTACCTAGATTTTTAATTTTCATACCCTGTCGTCATCCCAATTATGATAGAAAATATATAATCGAATTGTAAATGAATAAAATTTTTATTTATTAGACATAATATTATGAAAAAACTAGAATGTAGTAAAAGTATGTAAATAAAATCATAGTCTTTAATACAAAAATAATAATCAATTGCGTTTCATTCCACTACTCATAAGAACTTTCCAAAACTCCACGGAGTTATTTCAAACTGTCAAACACCAAGCGGTCACCGGTGACCGCAACCTATTGTTCTATAATTGTCTCTACCAAACCGGTACTCGACGAGTTAACCCGTTACTTTGTGAGCTACAAAGTAAGTTACTGGATTCACGGCGCGATTATCTTCTGCTCCCGCCGCGGTTGCCGACCCGCAGTCTTTGTATATATACAATACATACAGATAAACAGATGTATAAAATCGAAGTAATTTTCTCAGCGCTTGTTTGCGGCTCCCGCTGCACGGCGCGGGAGCGGTCACGCAGCCGCGGCGGGTTGCACCCGGGTGCTCTGCGATTAGTTAGCGGGCGATCGTAATGGGATAGCCGGTATGAAACTCAATAACTGATTGTTTTACCGCCCGACCATCTTGTGATAATATACAACCAAGTTCGTGGGTGATAATTGCAACCGCGGCGGCTGCAAAACCGCAGAACTGCGATCTCGTGAGTTTTAAAAATTCAGCCTCCATTCGGATGAAATTTCGGAGAAAATCCCACCGTGAGTACATAGCTTTCTACGTCAACATTAAAATAAAATAGATGAGTGTAAAACCATTAATCTATCTGTGGTTGTGCTATGCCATCGAAATTATTAATGAACTGTTGCACAAAATGAATGGGCCTGAATCATACATTCGAATCTGATTACGTTCATTCTATTCACTATAATTCTGTTTAGCCATAACTCTGTAAATCATTGCATTATATTTGAAACTAGTAGTAGCTTCATTCGAGTACCTAGTATTGAGATATTTTTTTATAAAATAACATAACATAACATCACGCCTTTTATTGTCATAGGCAGAGGTGCACATTATGCCACTGTATAATGTAACACCCACTTTTCACTATTTATGTTATGAGACCATTCTCATATCGTATATGGCTATTGCCATCAATAGCCATATACCGGGCATAATTCCAGACTCCATGCTACTACTGTGAATTCTATGAAAAACCCAGTAATACTTTGCCCGACCCGGGGATCGAACCCGAGACCCCTTGCCCGGCAGTCGCACTTGCGGCCACTCGGCCAACGAGGCATATTTTTTATATACAATATGTATTAACAAACACACATGTTCTGTTAAAAATACTTATTATTAAAATTGGTTAAATCATCTTGACAGCACGAATTTTGCAAATTTTTTTATATAGATCACCGATACGTTTGCGTATAAGACACGCATAATTCGTAAGGACTAGATTTGTTTGAAAAAAAATCGACGCCATTCAGGCACAGGAAATATACCCAAGTGAAGTTAGGGCGGACATTATTTTTTATTACTAGAAAGAAAGAAAAAATAAAGAAATAACATTTATTTAGCACCAGGAACGATGCAGCACAAAAAAATAAAAAAGATTAAAAGTGTGACAGTGGGAGTAATAAAAACATTGAGTATACTATAATCTACATTTTAAAAAAAACCGACGTCAAACACCGTTTTTTTTTTTAAATAGGTTAATTAATATACTGTAACCTTCTCTTAAGTGTATCAAATACTTTTCTGAAAACCACATGAAAATTAGTCAAAGTCAAAGTCAAAGTCAAAGTCAAAGTCAAAATCATTTATTTCAATTAGACCAGGATGGCACTTTTGAACGTCAAACAACAAAAATTTATAAGTGAAGCTAGTTGCTCATTCCAAGGCGTAGATTCCTATGGAGAAGAACGAGCAAGAAACTCCATAGGTTACTCTTTTTCAATCAGGTTTACAATTTCAGTTCAGTTCAGTTCATTAGTTCAGCCAATGGCGAGATAATTGCGCACAAACATACATACATACTGATTAAATTGGGAACCTACTTTTATTCTTTTTGACACATAACATAACAAAAACATAACATCACGACTTTTATCCTCGAAGAGGTAGGCAGAGGTGCACATTATACGACTGTACAAAGTAACACCCACTTTTCACTATTTATGTTATGAGTCCCATGTAATAAGGGGTAAGCCTATTGCCATATACCGGGCACAGTTCCAGACTCCGTGCTACTACTGAGATTTTTTTTAAAAGCTCATTAATACTTTGCCCGACCCGGGAATCAAACCCGAGACCCCTTGCTCGGCAGTCGCAATTAAGACCACTCGGCCAACGAGGCAGGCAGTTATTCTTTTTAAAATCGGTAAAATTGGCATCGCACCATTAATAGAAGAAGTGTAGGAGAGCCATGCTTCTGCACGAATGGGCCGGCTCGATCGGAGTGATACCACAGCCTCACAAAAAACCGACGTAAAGCAACACTTGCGTTGTGTTTCATCGTGTGTGTGAGGTTGCCGGAGGCCCAATTATCCTCCTCTTCCCCAATCTCCTCTCCAATGCCTGAATTCCCAACGATCCTAAAACTCCTAATCCCCAAAAGGTCGGTAACGCATTTGTAACGCCTCTGGTGTTCCAGGTGTCCATAGGCGACGCTGATTGCTTACCACCAGGTGATCCGTCTGCTCGTTTACCGGCTTATGCCATAAAAAATAATAATACAGACTTACTATAAAAACAGCGAACCGCAGTTGTTATTACTCAACATAGTATCTCAATTTAGTGCTTTAGACTTCACAAAGGCTGTCACCTCAGTCAAGAAGACACTGAGGCTAAAATAACTCATTAATTCAAGTAACAATGCCACGTTTTGCTAGTGGAACAATTGTAACGTCAACAAAAGGGACTAGTAATTATTTAATAGAATAAATTATTTCAACTGAAAGGCGTTTGCACCTGACATACTAATTAGGTCAGGTCGTAGGGTTACTGCTGTTAATTATAAAATTAATATATTATCCTGGACTGGAGAGTAAACCAGCTGTAAGTATGGACGGCAGTGTAATTGGAATGATGGATTTAATCATTTATATTTAGTTCAGTATAATATTAAATCTTCATTTAAATTTTATGTAGGTATAACTAGCGACCGCCCCGGCTTCGCCCGGGTGCAATATGCATGCATTATACATTTAAACCTTCCTTAAGAAGAAATCACTTTATCTATTAAAAAAGACCGCATCAAAATACGTTATGTATTTTTATAGATCTAAGCATACATAGGGACAGACAGACCGCGGATAGCGACTTTGTTTTAAACTATGTAGTGATTTATGTTTTTTAAAAAATATGTACAAACTAAATAAAATTATGATGAAAATATAACTAAAAACTGAAATATTTACAATTTAAAATTACCTTAATAGTAAGTGGCTTACAGCACCAAAAAAATGGAATGATTAATTTCAATAGGTAATATGACCCGTTTGTTAGTTCATTTTTGTTTTGTTTAGATTCTATTAAAACTAAATGTATTTCATGTTTAATGTTTTTAATAATGATTCTGAGAAAATGCTTGCTTTTACTTTTATTTTGTTATCGAAAGTAAATATTCATACGAGCATTTTTGGTGGTTTTTAGTAAGAGACTAATTCTTCACGCCATGCATAATCATTTAACATCTTTTAACAAATTAAATTTCCTAATAAATAGCTAAATGCAAATATCGATTTCAATAATTTTAAATACTAGTTGCTTTTCCGATTCCCGGGTCGGGCAAAGTACCTACGACTGGGTTTTTAAAAAAATTTCAGTGGTACACGGAGTTTGGAATTGTACCCGGTATTGCCATATAGGCTCACCCTCTATGACATAGGACTCATAACATAAATAGTGAAAAGTGAGTGTTACATTGTACAGTGGCATTAAGTACCGTAATCACCACCTCTGCCTACCCATTCGTGGATAAAAGGCGTGATGTTATATGTTATTTAGTTAGTATTCATTTTATCTAAAGAATCCAATACAAAGAAACACACTGTAATCTGTTTTTAAAGATATATATTGTGTAGAGAGCTTCTCATTAAAATGCTTCACAAATACCTTGAATAACTGGTTGGAGCGTCGTCGCATTTCAGAAGAATGTCAATAAAATGTACCTGAAACAAGTTAATACGAATTTAATATTATTTTTTCTGCTTACTCGTATAACAGTTTGACAAGGAACTCGACTACTTTCAAGCCATGCTAGACTGCTAGGCTCATATGAGCCTCTAGCATGAGTAGAGAATATTTATATTAAAGAATTTATTAATATATTCAAGTGCAGCATTCCGCGACACACGACGCGGCGACTGTCGCGTCTACTCTACTGTTGACTGCTACAGATAACATAAATATACGGATAGAATAGATGACTGCCTGGTTAGCCCAGTTGTCGCAAGTGCGACTGCCGGGCAAGAGTTCTCGGGTTCGATTCCCGGGTAGGGCAAAGTACTGCTGGTATTTTTTTACATTCTCAATGGTTGGACGGAGTTTGGAAACAATTCCAGTACCACACACCGGGTACAAACCCGGTATATGGCAATTGGCTCACTCTATTAATCGACTATTACATGAGACTCATAACATGAATAGTGAAAAGTGGGCGTTATATTGTACAGTGGCATACTTTATTATTATTTTTTATTTATTTCAAAAACAATTTACATTGTGTGTAAATTAAAGCTTAAAACTAATAACACAACTAATAACAAAAAAAATACATTCCTTAACTCGTCGAATACCGTCATTATAGACACAATTAAAGAACAATAGGTTGCGGTCACCGGTGACCGCTTGGTGTTTGACAGTTTAAATCGAATTATTCATCAATCATTTAACTCGTCGAGTATCGGTTTTGTAGACACAATTATAGAACAATAGGTTGCGGTCACCGGTGACCGCTTGGTGTTTGACAGTTTAAATCGAATTATTCATCAATCATTTAACTCGTCGAGTATCGGTTTTGTAGACACAATTATAGAACAATAGGTTGCGGTCACCGGTGACCGCTTGGTGTTTGACAGTTTAAATCGAATTATTCATCAATCATTTAACTCGTCGAGTATCGGTTTTGTAGACACAATTATAGAACAATAGGTTGCGGTCACCGGTGACCGCTTGGTGTTTGACAGTTTAAATCGAATTATTCATCAATCATTTAACTCGTCGAGTATCGGTTTTGTAGACACAATTATAGAACAATAGGTTGCGGTCACCGGTGACCGCTTGGTGTTTGACAGTTTAAATCGAATTATTCATCAATCATTTAACTCGTCGAGTATCGGTTTTGTAGACACAATTATAGAACAATAGGTTGCGGTCACCGGTGACCGCTTGGTGTTTGACAGTTTAAATCGAATTATTCATCAATCATTTAACTCGTCGAGTATCGGTTTTGTAGACACAATTATAGAACAATAGGTTGCGGTCACCGGTGACCGCTTGGTGTTTGACAGTTTAAATCGAATTATTCATCAATCATTTAACTCGTCGAGTATCGGTTTTGTAGACACAATTATAGAACAATAGGTTGCGGTCACCGGTGACCGCTTGGTGTTTGACAGTTTAAATCGAATTATTCATCAATCATTTAACTCGTCGAGTATCGGTTTTGTAGACACAATTATAGAACAATAGGTTGCGGTCACCGGT